AAGTAAATGAAGCATAGTTCCATAGAGTGAGTTCATCATGTGGAGCCAAGAAAAGTTATCTCGTGGCTACAACTTTTGCAATTTCCACTTTCCGTTTTGTAACTAATAACAAATAAATATCCCAGTTATATATATACGCCATGAGTAGTTTCTACTTCAGTGGCATTAAACCAGCAAACGTGGCAGAGCCAGGTCGAGGAAAGGCTGAAGGCAGCACCTACTTCCCTCTCCTCACAAACCCAGCGCCGCACCCGGTTCTTGCACCGGATCACTGTACTTTTATCCCCTTTTCCAGCTTGAATCTTCTTCCTGTTCGATCACCGTCATTCCACTACGCCACAGCCTCGTAGGAAGCTGTCCGAGTTATTCAAGTGCCCGAGCCACAGCTCCCGCAGCTCCGGGAACGCCACCTCCAGCCACGGCTTCCGCGGCCCGCTGAAATGCAGGACGGCGGAGAGCTGCAGCAGCTCGGCGTCGGGCATGCGCCGGCCCAGGTCCGGCAGGTGCCACAGCGGCTCGATCGCCCGCACCCGGCCGTCGAACGCTATCAGAGCCGGCGGCAGCGACCCTATCTTCCACAGCCTGAACCCCGATTCGCGGTTCTGCACGCACCCGACACAAGGAATTAATGAATCTTGTCACTTCTCACCTGTCTTGTCGGTGCTGCTAAGAGTTGCTTGCTCGATCGTGGTACGAAAATGGTGAGAGTTTAGGGTAAGGAGGGCTTGCCTTTTGCAGCCATGACTGATACGCCTCGGTAACGTTTGCTCCTCGCCAAGCGTCGAGGTCGACGATGCTGGCGCCCCAAGACCACGTGCAATGCGAACCGTCGAGGCCTAGCGACGACACTGCAGGGTCAGAGAAGTTGAGGTGCTCGCTGAGAGTCCTCTCGATGCAGATTCCACCGTCTGCGCCGGGCCGGTGCGCGCCGACCGCGCCCATGATGTTCCCGTCCAGGTCCTGCTCCCACAGCCCGGCCAGATCCTTGCGCACCACGACGTCGTCGTCGAGCAGTATCACCCTCGGGAGCTCCGGGAAGAACTGCACAGGATGGTAAACACACCAGGTGCCAATTGTTACTCACCACTTCACCCATCGACGCTAGTAATACAGATGTATTGTCTTCCTGTTCCTTTGGTTTACCTCTGGGAGATGGATTTTGAGATAGTTGAGGATCGAAAACGTGCTTGGCTTGGTGGCTTCGAGCCTTCTGTACTCCCTCTCCACCGATCCATCACACAGCTGGTGGTAATCCAGCGAGCTCTTCTGGACCTCGTCGATGGTCCTCATGACAGAGGCGATGGCATCGCCGTCGCGCCAGTCGAACTGGTGGAGGCCCTTGACCTCGACGACCGCCGGAGCGACCGGGTGCAGCGCGAACCACGAGTGCATCGGGACGTAGCTCTTCTTGTCGGTGACGACGTGGAACACGAGCCTCGACGGGCCGGCCGAGCTCCTGACGGCGGACGCCACGGCCACGGCGGCCGCAAGAACGTTGTCGGTGACGAGGCAGACGTGGATGCGAGAGGCGTCGGTGAGGCGAGGGGCGTACTGCGGCAACGGTACCGGGGAGCGGGCCGCGGAGTTCACCGCGAACTCCTCGGCCAGCCGCAGCGCCAGGCAGTGCATGCTCTTGGGGATGCCGAGCGAGGCCAGGTGCCGGTTGAACAGAGTTCGGATTCTCGACGACTTGACCTTCCGATCCATCTTTAGCAGCTGGTTCAAATCACACGCCCCAGAAATTCAGAATGAATGAATGATTACAGGTTTGCATGTTTGACAAATCGAGGAGCGTCCATGCATGACCATGCAGATGAAAGCAGCAGATCATATCTCTAGGCTAGAGAAGGCACGAGCAGGGGACAACACAGGGACCATATGATGAGGCCTTTCCGCGGGGAAAGCACTTTGGTTGCTGAATTCAGGTAAGGTGGCAGTAACATGCAGCTGCAGGCATGCTACTGAAAACCCGCTAAAAGTTGAGCAAGGATTTTGGGGAGAAAGTGTCAAAGTGCTTGTAAATTTGACGTGCGTACGTACCATGGCCATTATCTTCACGACCACGGCTTCCATGTCAAGCCGATCATAGGACGCCAGAATGGTGTCCATCTCCACCATGAGATCGTCCAAGGAATCCGGTGCCGCTTCCACCACCACGGGGTCCAACAGGGTAGCCACCCTGTGGCTTCTCTTCCACTCTTTCATGAATTCCTGATCATTCCATTCATCAAAATTGACAGTCATTTCATCAGTAAAATGCACTACTGGTAAGAAGCATCATGTGTGTTCTGCGCGTGAAAACAGAGATTTATGAGCATGCATGCATGGATCATGGACGGCCAAAGGACCACAACTCCACAACCACAAGGCCGCAACTGCTTGGAAAAGGGTGAATGCACGTATAGTTCCAAACACAAAGGATCAAAGGTCTTGTCGGATGAGCATTTCCACGCTGGATTGCAGGCCACTAGTAGAGAATCCGAGCGAGCGAGCAAGTCGCCTCATTCACAAGAAGAAAGTCACAAGGGTTTTGTATATATCCCTAGCGGCTCGCAACAAAATGAACCCAGCCCACCAACTGGTCGGGGACCCGCCAGGCCGGAATAATGCAGGCACGTACGTACGAATCTACTACCACTATGCAGAAATTTCGTCGTCCTCGTCAAATTAGGCAGTTTTTCTGGTACAAATTGACCAGAAAAAGTTGTCAATCCACGGCCGTTTCACGTACCAGCTCCACCTTTGAAGAACACAAGCCGCGAACACCGCGCGGCGCCTTTTCAGCTAAGCGGAAGTGTTTGACCTCGGTCGGACTTTACCTTTTTTAGATGACTTCGGTCGGACTTTGATGAGATGGACTGATCACACTCACACACCGGCTATACGGCCTATTTAATGTATTTATTTATTTTGGGATGTATAAAACCGCAGGGCAGCGCAGAACATGCAGCATTGAATACGACCAGTAGCTCAACCGGGGCGTCAACCGTGGAGCTGTGGCAGTCCAAAGTACAGTGCCCGGATCAGACCGGGCGATGGGCTCGTGGCCCCCGCACGTCAGCGGGGCGGGCACGGCCACGTGGTGGAGGCCACGGTCGAGCGCAGCGACGTGTTGCCGACCTGGCCTGCCCCTAAACATTCCCGTTCCCGTGAACGACGCTTTACTGACAGGGAGCAGAAGCGCGTGAGAATCTCCGTGCCCATCCATCCACCACCCATTTCCGCCACGCCGCCGCAGGTAAAAAAGATGTCAAAGCTCACGTAGTAGAAGTAGAAAGCCCGACGCCTAACTTATCACGCGGCCTGCCAAAGTCCAAACACATTTCGACGCGCACGATCGGACACGGGCCTAACACACTACTACACTGGTAAGTACTGTAGAAGCCAGGTCGGCCGGACTCACCTCCGCCGCGTCGCCGCCGCCGCCGTAGAGCCAGCGCCCGAGCCCCGCCCTCCAGTCCGAGCAGCCTGAGGCGCTCGCGCACGAGAATGGGGGAGCAATTAACCAGTGTACACGCCACAAATCACTGACGAGAAAGAGGAAAAATGGACTGCGAACGGGCTTAGTTACCGGTGGCGGAAGGGCAGAGCGAGGCGCCGGTCTCGATGGCGAGGAGCGCCGCGCGGAAGAGGAGCACGCCGGCCAGGAGCCCCGTGACCACAACGGAACGGTAGCCTCGCCGCGCCGCCTGCTGCTGCGGCGGCGCCTTCGGCTTCGTCACGTCGTCGTCGGCGGCCGCCGCCGTGATGTAGAGCCTCATTGCTCACAACCCCCCTCGCGCGAGGCTGCCGAGTCGCCGCCGCTCATGAACGAACGAGGCTACGCGAGCCCACGCTCCAGCTCGAGGAACAGTGCGGGAACGCGGGGAGGGGGAGAGAAAGGTGCGTGGCGCGGGGAGTTATAGGCATCAGCGAGAGAGTGAGACGAGCTAGCTAGTGGCAGTGAGAGTGGGGGAGGGTGGCGCAACAAAAGGGGCCGGCGGGCGAACCGAGCGGCTCCGGGGCCGCCCGCGTAGCGTACGTTGTATAGATGGAAACCGTGGAGGAGCGCGGGAGGGGCGTGGCGAGGGAACGGGAACGAGGGCGATGGGATCTGCCCGACGGGGGAAGAGAGCGACTTGAAATGCGAGGAGACGGCACCGACAGTGGCTGACGGCGACGCGCGGGGGCCTCAAGACTGGCTGTGGCTGGCCCGTGGGGGCGCGGCGCTGGTGTGGCTTATCCGGTGGTGCTGCATGCCGCGTCGCGCTCGCAGGTCGCATGCCGCTCGTTAGATTTAGCTCTCGCATTATGTGCTTTGTCTAGTTACTGGTTGAGCACACGTACAATACGAATCATATCTTCATGTGACTGGCTTCTGACTCTTGTGGAATCTCTTCGCCGATCTGCCATCCTGCCCGGTAAAAATGGCAGTCCTGTCCCGTTGGTGGTACGGGTAGAAGGTGCAGCGGCACAAAGCAAAAAAATAATAATCCTACCACTTAAATTGTGATCGTGTCACACCCAAAATGCGACCCTATCCTAAAGAAACTGGAAGGTCCCATCAAGGATAGAAGCGCATCTTGAAGACGCTTTTGCAAGGTGAATATTATTACATCAACATTACATAATAGATTGGAATACACACCAAAGGCATACAATGCCACACGAATACAACATCATCATACAAGAGATCAACATCCGACTACGGATGATACATAAACAGAAACTCAAACAATATCCACCCTGCTAGCCCAGGCTGCCGACCTGGAACCTATCCCCTGATCGAAGAAGCAGAAGAAGAACTCAACGCAAGCAAGCATCGCTCTCACGTCATGAACATCGCATAACCTGTACCTGCAACTGTTGTTGTAGTAATCTGTGAGCCACGAGGACTCAGCAATCCCATTACCATGGGTATCAAGACTAGCAAAGCTTAATGGGAAAGGAAGGGGTAAAGTGGTGAGGTTGCAGCAGCGACTAAGCATGATATGGTGGCTAACATACGCAAATAAGAGCGAGAAGAGAACAAGCGGAACGGTCGTGAAGCTAGCAATGATCAAGAGGTGATCCTGAACACCTACTTACGTCAAGCATAACACAGAAACCGTGTTCACTTCCCGGACTCCGCCGAGAAGAGACCATCACGGCTACACACGCGGTTGATGCGTTTTAATTCGGATCTGGTGTCAAGTTATCTACAACCGGACATTAACAAATTCCCATCTGCCACATAACCGCGGGCACGGCTCTCGAAAGTTTAAACCCTGCAGGGGTGTCCCAACTTAGCCCATGACAAGCTCTCGCGATCAACGAAGGAATAGACCTTCTCCCAGGAAGACCCGATCAGTCTCGGAATCCCGGTTTACAAGACATTTCGACAATGGTAAAACAAGACCAGCAAAGCCGCCCGATGCGCCGACAATCCCGATAGGAGCTGCACATATCTCGTTCTCAGGGCAACACCGGATGAGACATCCTACGAGTAAAACCAGACCTCGAATTGCCCCGAGGGGGCCCCGCAGTCTACTCGGTTCGAACCAGCACTTAGACAAGCACTGGCCCGGGGGGCTAAAATAAAGATGACCCTCGAGAGAGCGACTCCCAAGGGAAAAAATAGGTGGTGGTGAGGCAAATGGTAAAACCAAGGTTGGGCCTTGCTGGACAAGTTTTATTCAAAGCGAACTGTCAGGGGGGTCCCATAAATCACCCGACCACGTTAGGAACGCAAAATCCGGGAACATAACACCGGTATGACGGAAACTAGGGCGACAAGAGTGGAACAAAACACCAGGCATAAGGCCGAGCCTTCCACCCTTTACCAAGTATATAGATGCATTAATAATATAAGAGATATTGTGATATCCCAACATAACCCTGACCACCATGGAGCAATCTTCAACTTCACCTGCAACTAGCAACGCTATAAGAGGGGCTGAGCAAAAGTGGTAACATAGCCAAACAATGGTTTGCTAGGAATGATGTCAAAGGTTAGAGGTTCATGGCAATTTGGGAGGCTTGAAGAGCAAATGATAGGTAACGCAGCATAGCGACAAAACGAAGCAACTAGCATAGCAATGATAGTAGTGAGATCCAGGGTAGCGGTCATCTTGCCTGAAATCCCGCTAGGAAGAAGAACGAGTCCATGAAGAAGATGAAGCCACGAAGACGAACCACACGTAGACGAACGAATCCTCACGATCGCAACGAAACGGGAACTATCGAGAAGAAGCACACAACATGGTAAACACACCACACATGAACAAGGCATGATGCACAACAAACATGATGCATGACCAAGCTACATGAAGCTACTCATGGCAAGAGATGATGCAAAGAAGAACAACACATCAAGGCAAGTTTAAATGAGGCCGGGAACAACATATAACAATTCCAGTAAGTCCTCATATGCATATTTCGAAATTGGTCCAGAACTGAATAAACCTTATGTTCAAGTTGTTAAACAGCAAGTTAAGATGCATCAAGATGATCTACACGAAATTCTAGTCAAGTTACATATAAAGTTCATTAGATTTGGAGCTACGGCCTAGAAGATATGAGCAAAACAAGTTCAACATGGAATTGATGCAAAATGCATACAAACATCAAGCAAACACACCAAAACAAATATGCAACATGATAATATGAAGCTACATGCAAAATCAAGCAAGTTTCATATAGAGCACACTCAAAACGGAGCAACAGTTCAACACACACACACACTATACAAGTCATAGCAACAACCTGTCCATAACAGCAACTAGGCATATTGCAAGCATCAAAACAACAAGCTACAACACCCCAACATAATAATAAAAGGCATGGGCATGAAGTACAGGTAAAGCATAACAAAACAAGAACACTGAGCTATCTCCAGAAACAACTAGAACATGCTCAAAAAGACATGGAGATATTGCAAATAATAACAGTTTCAGACTTATCAGGAAATAACATCAAGATGCAATGTTTAGAGCTATCAAACAACATGTTACAGGAACATATCATGGCAAACAAAGGCATGGCATGAATCTACTAAAAGCATAGATCAAAAGTCCCTTACTGACTATGAGCCAAAAAGGATCAGAAAATATGATGCCACCCATGTAAACATGGCAAGTTATATTACAGATTCACACATGGCAGAAACAACAATAAGTTGGCATGTTCGTGAGCTTGAATCACTCACCACAGAGCATTACATGGCATGGCAAGGCAACCAACAATAAGAAGGCATGTTTGTGAAGCTAAGCATGGCAAGAGCAAGTTCATAGGGTGCATGGATCACTAGGAAAACACATGGGAACAAGTGAACTTAATGTTATCAGGCTGATAGCAACATTTTCAAGCAACTTTGGAGCAAGATATGAACAATCTACAACAAGCTATAAATGCTACCAGGGGCTTGGATGGATAGAGCATGACATGTAGATCAAAACATATTTATAGAGCATCTCCAGATTATGCATAGAATGATTAGTAGAAGCATGTTAACATAGCAACAAAATATAACAGAATCTATCAGGAAAACAGCAACAGCAACTACCCTACTTAGCAAGCTTGATGCACTCAGCACACAACTCAAAAAAATACATGGTTAACACCCCTGAAAATATGACATATCATAGATCAAAACACATGTAGACATCAACCTCATAGGATGCACACATCAATCATGGCAAAAATGACAAATGAGCAAGTTATAACAGTTTCAGCAGATTAACATCAACATGCACTCTTCCAACAGCATTTCGGGCATCAAGATGAGCTCAAATGAAAATGATGCAATGTAATGAAATGAAGTACTCGTCGAGACGAACAATTCGACATATTACACGCACGAAACGGAGCTATAAATGCAGAGATTCAACAGGTCAAAGTATGCAACATTTTATGAGTTTCTGGGGACTTGGCAGTTTTTGAAACAAAAACATATGAGCGAAAAAATACTATTCGATGCACCGGGCGCTGGATAGAGGCAAGGCTCACCATGGGCTCGGCCCAGGACGCGGAAGGAGGCGGGCCGGAGGAGATGGGCTGGGCCTTGGGAGGCCGACGGCTGGGCTGCAGCAGGCCGGCGTGCTGGGTCGGGGCCCACGTGGCCCAGGCCGGTCAACGGCGCTCGATCGGGCTCCTCCCGATCGATCTGGAACGCGGCGCCGGCCACCAGACGACGGCGGCGGCCACCGGAGGCGAAGGAGGCGGCCGGAGGAGGCCGGGGAGGCGCCGGCAGGGGCGGCGGTGCCGGATCTGCGGTGCGGAGGCGGCGGGGGCTCGCCGGATGACGCTCGCGGTGGCGCAGCCGGGACGGGAGCCGGCAAACGCGGGGGCTCCACGGCAGCGGCTGCCGGAGGGCGGCGACGGCGAGCAGGCGGCGGAGGTCGGCGGCGCGGGGCGCGGGCCGGGCGGCGGAAGTCGAGGCGGCGGAGGCGCGGCCGGAGGGCGGCGGAAGTCGAGGCGGCAGCGCTCGCCGGCGGCGGGCACGGGCGGAGGCGCTGGGACGCGAGGGATCGGGCCCGGGGCGGTCCGAGGCGGGCTCCCCGTGGGCCCGGCGGGCCTTCGGCGGAGGACGGCGGCGCCAGGACACGTGGCGAGCTCGGGTTAGACGGGGCGGCGAAGCAGACATGTCCGGGCGCGGAGGAAGAAACGTCCGGCGGCGCGAGGGGAATTTCTAGGGTTTGGACTGCGGGATTTCAGGGAGGATCACATATATATATATAGGTAGAGGGAGCTAGGAGTGTCCAAATGAGGAGCGGTTTTCGGCCACGCGATCGTGATCGAACGA